AGGATTCACGGACAGATGTGTGATTGTTCAGGATATATGTGTAGAAAAAAGCATCTTGATAAAATATCCAAAATTCAAACTTCACATGGCAGTTTTATAATTTTATGAAGATCTTCTTTTTCTTTCACTTGTGTCCTATTTATATCATGACATATTTTCAGATTTTTCCACTCTTTCATGGTATCTCTGATTCTGTGGTAAGTTTTTCCAGATTATGAGTCCACCTCGAATTATCATTAATCAATGATCACCTGCAACTTTAAAACTTTCAACACTCCACTGTCCATTCATATCACCTTTCCCTGTTCTAACCAGCAATCTGTTCTACTTTTGTAATCATGGTATTCCTACCAACCAATCCAACACCCTAGAACCCTCCCTTCTCTTTCCCATATTGCCTCCATCATCCATTAAATCCTCTTTGCCCTTTCCTTTCCCTGAAACCAATTCCCTTCTTCCATCTCTATCATGTTTACATATTGGGATTTATTTAGCTCATTACTTTTTACGATTTGTAAGCATTGATTTGTAAGCGCCTTATATATGGCTTATATATGGTTTTCATATCACTTTGTCTTCATACATTCAACCCCCATTTTGATTTATAATTTATCAGCACTTTTTTTCATCTTCAAAAATCCTTAACTTGGGCTATTGCGAACAAAAAAATAAGATCTACGTGTACATCACTAACGAACGGGTAAACTGGAAAACTGTAAAGAGTGCGAGAGTCACACCATTTGAGACCCATATTCCGCATGAGACACCAGGCAAAGAGAAAGAGGGGAAAGTAGAGAAAATGAAAAGAGAAGAAAGAACATAACTCGCATCTACAAATGAGCGCAAATATGAGCAGCAAAATTGTAAAAATAAGAAATGCAAAATTAAGCCATTTGTGGCATCCACGACGAAGCTCGCGGCCTGTCATCACTAGGCCTCCTTTCTTCGGGCCTAAACTTTAAATCGGATCTATTTAATGAAGATTCGGCTGAAGGAGTTCCAGCGATCAACGAAGAAACGGCATCGAACTGCGATTGCATAACACGGTTCATTCTAGGGTCTTGGCTCGTCAATGAAAGATCGGGAGTAACTCCTGAGTATGTAGGGGGAGCATCCACAACTATTAACTTCCAAGCCACAACATTTCCTTCAGGAATCTGTCGCACAACAGCACTGTCTGCAGACCCACTTCCCATCGGCGGACTAGCGGGGCTTTCGTCATCAGCAATTGAGTCACCAGCGATTTGGGCAAGCATCTGGCTGATATTAAACTGCGTAGGAGGAGCAGTGTTCGCGGCTTGTGGCGTCTGTGTAGCACCCGAAACGGCAGAAGCCTCATCGAATCTAGGTGAAGCATGGGCAGGAGCAGCATAATATGGCAATCTAGGTGGCATGGCAGGGAACGGAGGTGGTGTGGGCGTCAATGAAGGCACAACTACGGAAGGAGGTGCAAGAGGACCGCCATTAGAAGGCTGCTGTGGGACAGCAGCATGAATCACAGGAGCAACTGACGTTGGAGGGAGAGGTGGCTGAGCACCACTAGGTCCTTGAGGGAGAAGAACACGACGTTTCATAGGGACGGGGCCGCCCATTCCCCGACTGGCATACATCTCGTCTTCCTGACACATTCGTTCGAAAAGAGGCCTAGTATAGTCAGTGAGGGGAACGTGACTGAAATGACACGGGTCACGACTGCATTCTCCTTTGTGAAACGCTTTGCACGGAAATTCGCCGTGCAGTAAAAGGCAGGTAAGTCCTTTTTTGCAGAATCCTTGCTGATAGAACTTGCAGAGCTCAGGACGACGTAGCGAGTCTTCAGCTTGATGCGAGTATGCGCAGTTGTCCCCATCCCTGCAATACCCTTCGCGGAAAAATTTGCAGATCTGATGCTCGGTTGCCCAGCGGGGTTTCGGACGGAAGCCACGGAATCCCCGACCACTGTAAGGACGTTTCGGACCACGCATATCCCAGTCTTCATCATGTTGAGGAGAATGCCGGCGCCTAGAACAAGTGTTCAGATCAAGTGATTTTGATGGAAAGAAACCAAGTTCGCACAAGGCTCAGAATAGTAAAGTGAATTTAGCCAATACCTTCTACCAACATGACCTCCCTGGCGGTAATCAAAGTCTCCACTTCCTTCTTCTTCAAATCGATAGTCCTTGTCCTCAGCACCGTATCCAAAAACGTCGCCAACTTTTTCTTCGGCGGCCGCAACCTTGCTTGCCCACATGCTTTGCGAAGGCTTCGCGTTCTCCTCCTTAATAAAAAAGGAGCATTCGTTGGAACCGGTATGAACAGAGACTTTGATGGCGAAAACTAGCAATAACAAGAAGGGAGTCATATCTCTAAACAATTATGGGCTAGAAAAATTTCCTTCATTGGTCCTACTTTTTCGCAGAAGAGACAAACAGTACAAATGTTCAGAAGTTGTTGAAACAAAATATTTTGGGTTTGTTATACTGCAATGCTTAGGAGCATATTTAGATAATTGAAGGACTGAGTCTGGCACCCACCGATAAACCTATCATCTCCTTTGCAGCCCGAATTTTAGAAGGATTCGGTGAGGTACCGGCTGTGGGGTGACTGACAAGGTTTCCACTTTGACTGGGGCTTGAGCTACTCGCGCCTACTGCCACTGAAAAGTAGAACGAGATGCAAAAATGTTAAAGAAGGTTTGATGCGAAGAAAGTGAACTGAACATCTCAAAAATTTCACTTTGTAT